TTAGGAAACCGTTCCACTTACTTGCACATTTTCTTGAAATCAAACCAGCATTTATGAGGGAAGGTTCATTAAGGGACATATACATACTAGTCAATAGGAAAGGAAAAGGGGAAAGACGTATCAATCTCACATTTCAGGGCGCGCAGGCAACCTCTAATAGTTACAAATACAGTCACGTTCTCCTTGGCTAATATGAATAAGTATCTCCCTGTGGCATTCATTCAAATCAAATGTTTATTATATAGCCCAAATATCACAAATTTACATTTGTCTCAGGGACATTCTTCAGCTTTGTACCCAGAATAATCAGTATGACATACGACACCTCTGTCCTTAGCACCCTCACAGTCGTACACAGGAAAAACTGTTCCCAGAAAAAACCCAACAGTTAAAGGGGAACAGGGAGAAACCTCAGGGAGAGCAACAGAGGAGGGATCCCTCTCCCAGGACGGACAGACATGCAATAGATGCCGTGTGTACATTGAAAAGATAATACATTTTACAGCGTAGGTCGACCAAATGTTTGGAAAGACCAAATGTTTGGAAATGCATGTGTCTATAATAAGAAGATGAATCCACGAGGATATCCATCCAGGACTTATGATCCAGGACCACAGCAACAGGCACAGCCACGAATCAGCCCTAACTATAAGCTTTATCAAAAAGGAAGGTTTTAAGCGCACTCTTAAAAACGGATAGGGTGTCCGTTTGGTGACACCTAAATTGGTAAAAAAGCACCAAATCCTCCATGTGCAAATGAGGATTTCTTCTCTTCATTTTGTCCCATTTTATTGGTCTTCTAATTAGCCTTCATGAACATTACCTTGTCTCCTATTGAAACATTAAGCTGAAAGGAATACCTGAGGCTGCGGTTTCTGAAAAGATAAATCGATTTTTGGTGACCATGATGATGTTTATAAAGTTTCTCCTTTTTTTTAACCAAATGATTGTGTTAGGAATGTTTCATGATGTTTTTCGAGTATTCCTCTGACAACACTACACATATTAAATGTTATGATGTTTAAATGAAGCACCATAATTTCTACTCTTGTCCAACCCTGCTTGTTGTGTTGTGTAGCCTTGAAATGTTATTCATGAAAAAGATTACCAGGCTTCTTTCAAAGCAAGCACATACTGCTAATGTGGGCTTTGCTTAGCTGCCTTGAGGGCTAATATGCATAATTTGGAGTGCTATGACATATGAGACCATCAGATCATAAAACAGTCATTATTTGTTTAACATGTCATCCTCAATGAACAAGAATATACTCCTCACATAATTATACATTTAAAAAAATACATCGCCGTGGTATAAATAATTATTTGTATCCATGGCCAACGTTTCGGTCGTTTTTATGGCACGACAAAGCCCTTATTGAACTACTTTAATCACTTCATAGGTAATTGAACTACCAGTAAGATACTGCAACATGTATTTTAACTTCTTGCTTTAAAAATATGTAGTTCCCCACTCACCAACACTGATAAATAGCCTGATTCTAGAAAAAACGTATGATCGTTATGAGGGCCGGTCTTTGTCATAGGCATAGGCGGTCGCCGAGGGCGGCAGATCTGGGGGGCGCTGGTAGTTCTTGGAGGGAAAAAGACTTTTTGGACTGTTTGGCTCATCCTAATTTTCAGCCTTGATGTAACAACATTCACAATTAAGTCAAGGTAACACCCTTTTCACCCCGGTTACAGTTTTCATTTGCCCTGTACGATGGGCGCTGTAAGTGATGAAAGTGGGGGATGTTGACTTATCAGGCGCCCGCAGCTCACAGCCAAAGTGCGAGCGAGCCTCCGAGCGAGCAAGAGAGAGAGAGAAAGAGAGAGGGCGCGCATCGGTACCGCGGATTGTTGTTGGATTGAGGCTGATAACTACAGCTCAGTGAGGTAAAGGACTCTGAGTGTTTAGATAGTTCACTTTTGTCTAAGTTATCTCAGTGGGTCTCAAATGTTTTGATCACAATTCATGTAAACACATATTTCCAAGGCACCCCTTTATAATGATTAGGATAAATAAAAACAGGTTTGAAATCATTCCAATGTATACTATATGACAGTAAACCAAAAATATCGTTTAAAACTGGAGATATAAAAAAATAAATGCATGAATAAATACATGTTAACTGGTAAAATAAGATATAAATTAACAACTAAAATAAAATGCGTTTTATTTAGATAGCACATTTAGAAGCGATTTTTGGTCGGGCCAAAGTGCTGTACATGTAATAAAAACACATTACTACAATCACAATAAAAGACAATAAATTGCAACAGATATATAAAAAACACAGGGAAAAGTCATTGTAGAGATTTCATTTAGTTCTTTATCATTCTATTGTGTTATTGCATTGGGGTGGGGGGGGCTTGATCATTTGGATACATACAACAGTCCTGTTTTGTGCAGTTGGGGGCGAGCCTTCATAGTGGAACGTGCAGTTGTCCATACAAGGTGATAAACATGGTGTTAACTAAGTGTAACTGCCCACTTGTAGTTGAGGTGCTAGCAGTTTATCGCGATAATAGACGGTTACATGTATCTATTGCCAAATGTAGACAACAGCGCATATGGCAGGACATTGCAGCACAATGTTGGAACAACTTGAGAAAATGAAAGTGAATAAAACGCTTCTTTAGTCCCAGCGAGTTAGCAAAGAAGCTAGCCCTTACCGCTGCTAGCATTTAACAGGTGCATGCAGGACTTGTTAACTCTCGGCCTTAAACCCTGGACTTGCTGCTCATTCAAACTTTCTTTTTCTACTGAGAACAAGTCTATTCGCCATGGGATCGTTTAATTCAGGTAGGTAATTGTACTGTCTACCTGAAAGGGGTTCTAGAAGAACAATAAGAGTTTGAAGATGTTCTTCCACAGAGCACCGACACCTCGCCGCCCTCCAGCTCTTTAATGGTAGTGCGCTTTTTTTAAAACCAACTGGCATCCATCGGGCTTTTGTCTTATTTGCGTCGGTTGAATTTGTACTCAAAGCATATCTTTCTTTGCTACTTTGATTACTGCGGTCTTGTGCTGAGGAGCTGTGTGTGTTATCTGCTGAGGTAGAATAAGAGTCAGGTCTTTTACAAACAAGTATGATTAACGCTCAAAAAACCTGCGTAAAAAAGTCCTAATCTAAAAAAATCTTCACAGTAGTTCAGAAACAACATGTTTCTTAAAGTATACAAGTCAAGAGTATAATCCGCAAGGAAAAATGCCTCCTATGTGAGATATTAACATAAGTGATCTGGACAATATACGAATGTTAAATGTTTGCATCAGACGAATGTCACTGCTGTAGACTCCACCCCAATGTATTCATGTTTAGGACTTTTAGAAGTTTGTGTAAATAGGATAATTGGAACATGTTGTGCTCAACACTTTATTCCCCTTTTTCATCTGTAGAAATGCATAGTAATATCCCATGTGTTTAATGCTATATCTTAATCTCAAAATCGATGATTTAAGCCTTATAATAAATGAGTGGTTAAAAATATGAGAACCTTTTTCAAATGTTTTGAAGCAGAGTAAAAGAGATTGTAGAGTTTAAGTTGGCCTTTGCAGACCATTTTCATGCAAAAAAAAACCTATACTAACCACACTACAGGAAAGGAAAGCATAATAGGCCCTCTTATAACTGAAGGGCAAGTACTCAAAAGGTGCAACTAAGTACAGTACTTGAGTAAATATCGGCATAGTTCCTCACCACTTGTTGTGTATTCATGAATGTGAGTTGTAGGTTAGTTCTGACGCCCTTTTGGTCATTCTATTGTTACAGCCCATATATTCACAGTGTTGCCATGCAGTTGTGCTTATGCGATCCAGCATTGGGTACATTAGTGGNAGATCAGTGGTTCTCAAATGGGGGTACGCGGACCCCTAGGGGTACGTTGGAGTACTGTAGGGGGTACGTGAGATTTATTTTATGTTAATGAAAAAAAAAAAGATAAATATACAAATTTTAGGAAAAGTAACGAAGTTTGAGCAGTGTGGGTTTTATATTAACAGTTACACATATTTCAAAACGAGAAGTGTAATAACTGCAGTTTGCCTCCCTGTCAGAATGACAAAAAGATCCACAGTGAAGCACAAGCCCATGTTTCTCACTAAATTGTAAGTACAACTTATTAACAGGATCAGTTCAATGCAACTAATGTCGTCTTAGTGTTATTGGATGATTCAAATTGGTTTGCCATGAATTTAGTGAGAGATTGTAAACATTTGAAATGTAGCATTTAAGTGTTTCTCAGTTACACTGTTGTTGTTTTAATAAATCAGACGCTGATGGTGCAGCGCTGTGCTGTTTCTCTCATCTCTTTATATAGTAATTTCATCCCTAACAAATACTTTTTATGCGCTGATCATGGGGTACTTGGCTGAATTTTTTTTTCAAAGGGGGTACATTATTGAAAAAAGTTTGAGAATCACTGGTTTTAGATAGTACTTTAGTCTAAGTTATCTCAGTGGGTCTCAAACGTCTTGATCACAATTTATGTAAACAAATATTTCCAAGGCACTCCTTTATAATTATTGGGATAAACAGGTTTGAAATCATTCCAATGTATACTATAGGACAGTAAAACAAAAATATCGTTTAAAACTGGAGAGATAAAAAAATATGTATAAATAAATAAATGTTAACTAGGTCAAATAAGATATGAATGAACAACAACAATACAATAAGTTACATTTATTTTGTATTGGCTATGGTAGGTTATTGGTTATGTTCACATACTTATTTGATTATTAAAATGTAAACAGATCTTTTTCATATGGGTGTTTTAGAGTTGTATCCCCATCTAAAATCTCACCTCGGGCACCAAATTGGCTAGAACCGGCCCTGGATTTCTACACAATCTTACTCTTACCGCAATCGATGGAGTCGCCCTCTGCTGTATATTAAATGTAATGCAACTTTAGGGCAGTCTTCACTTTTTCGAACAGGAAGTTGCCGCCTGGGAACAACGAATGATTTTGAAAGAAAATGTTAAATTAAAAATAATACCCTTTTAGCCATGGCAATGGAAGGTCTCTCAATGGGCGTCCTCTTTGCCATCTCCAGCAGCAGTCTCTTCAGTTTGCGAGGCATCGCCAGCTTTTGATGAGGTGATAAACTGAACTTGGCTGCAGCCCAAAGAATAGCAGCAACCCCATACACACAAACCTGAGCCAAGACAGAAGAGAATAGAGGAGGGAAAACTTATAACCAAAGTAAATGATCAGAGAAAGTTAGTTTGTCACATAAACCAATTTGGTAAGACAAACCTTCTCGGTCACAATCCCATGTTCTTGATACTCGGGAGCAAGATAGAACTCGTCTCTGGATCCTGCGTAAAGAACACTAATTTAAGTTTACAACAGCCTCCAAAAACAGGATTTACTTTTGTAACATATCAAAAGACAGCTCCGAAGACTACACCGTAGGACACAAAAGTAAACCAACCTATGTTTTTAGGTTTCAAGAAAAGTACTTCTCCCTCACAGCCCACGTGCATCGTGTCCAGGCATAGATAGGCTAATGGAAAAGACAGAAATCAGAACAGATATTGCCAACAGAATTTAAGCCTTGCACATGATGAACGGAAGAAAATGTAACACTGGTACAGAAATAAATACAGTAGATACTAGTGTTGTCAACGAATAAAACATTTTTAACGTGTTCACAATATTAAACACAAAACCAATACACGTGCAACGTTGTAATAAAAAATGCATGACTAGAGAAATCAGATGTATTTTTACTTTAACACAACATGATTTCTGATTCATTGTCATAAAGTCTGACAATGTTGATACTCCTATGCAACTTCAAAAAATTGCACAAGGTTCCCATTGGAATTAGGAAGTAATTTTCTATTTATCGCTAGAGGTTTCCAGATGAATTTCGAGCGTTAATGAGCTGGGGTTGAGAGCCCTTTAGAGACATATGCAAAAGGATGTGTGCCCTTACTTTATATGTTGAGTTCTAAATTGTTCTAAAAGGAGTAGTTAATTAAACTGATTTCATGCATGAAATTATTTAATCACCTGGAAAATCGATGTAGGTCTGCAGAGAGGAGAGGCAGGAGAAACCCAGAGCCCAGAGCTCGTTAACGGTCAGCCGCCGTCCACACCGAGTCAGAAGCTCCCTCAGAGAGATCCACTGGAGAGAGAATAAAGAACAGTTTCAAAGGAGATTAAGGGACAGGCTTTGGAGCCTAAATGTGCCTTATTGTAACTGTAACTCCAAATTCATTTTTCTGAGTTCTCTTCAACAGTGATTTGTCTTATGGAAGTTTTTCTAAAGGCAATTGAGAAAATAACCTGGTGATACATTTCCTAAGTCTGATTCTGATCTTAATTGATTTCTCTACTGTGTTTATGACTTAAGAACAGATGAGATTGAGGTGTTTGCCAATGTTATCGGAGATTCCCTCAAAAGGTTGCTGTTTTCACCTATGGAAACAATAAGAAAGGTGTTGCCATGGTGTAATGCATGTTTTGGCCACAAGGGGCTGAAGTGAAACACCAACCCATGTTATAAATTGTTTTCTTCCAGGTGACTATGACAAAGGGAATAGTTACATTTTGGAAGTTAAAACAAATGGTTGCATGTCCGTCTTGACCTTGAAAAAGTATATGCATCCATTGTAATAGAGCTTTAAAACCAGGAAAAGACACCATTTTATGATATTAAGTTATCCAAAATCTAAGTGATAATAAGCCTTATTTATCTTCATCAGTTTAGTGTTGATATATTTCCCAGCCCTGAGGGAATTAATAGGCTCACCTACCCCTTATTCAACAGTGTGGCCATCTGTTAGCACAGGGGTTCCCAACCTTTTTTCCCAAGAGACCCCCCGAATGACTCCTATTGGAAGTTGCGCCCCTCCACACACACACACACACAAGGGGGGGGGGGAAGGGGAGCAACAGCGGTAATTAAAGTCTTAAAATGCTACAACTACTGTCACAAACTGGATGATTGTGAAGTATTTTGTTAAAGGACGACAAAACCGTAATTAAGGAGCACTATTGGAGTGACTTTGATGGTTATTGGACTCAGGATTAATTAATTTGGATTCCCGCTCTATGAAGAAATTAAAGGATGGCGCAAGTGGAAAGAATTCACGAAGGGATTAAAATGTTTTAAAAACACATGCTCAAAGTAAGCCGGATTTTGCCGATGTGTTTATGTGGATTCAAAAGTCGTAAATAATCAACAAAATGGAGGGAAACCGATCTGTTCGGAGCAACTGTGACAAATAATCCAACTGAAACCGGCATGGACAATGACTATATTTTAAAAATGCGCTTATCCAGAAAAGCCTGGTTTGGACACTTTACGGGCAGAAGAAACATTTCTATTAAAGAAAGAATTATACATTTCTGTCTTTTTATGCTATAATAGTTACTAACTTGAATTTTTATTAAAATTAATTAATCAATTATTTTTTATATTTTATTGTAATGTAGAGACAAGGCTTTTAGTGACAATCATGTATTGCGTTACAATTATATGTTAAAAAAAAAAAAAAAAAGTCTGAATGATATTTGGACTCAAATCATCTGAGGCCTGGTGCTCTGCGATCTTGGGCGCGCCCCCCAGGTTGGGAACCACTGTGTTAGCACATGACCACACTTTTGTATTTAGGTCACATGATGACAAAGGACTCCAAACATGGACTAACAGCTTTTTATTTAGCTAAACTCAAGCTACTACTTATGGCATTTTAACGAAGACACCTTTATAAAAAACACTTTTCCCACTTCTGGACTGAGTTTGACCACCACCTTAAAGACTGTTTGCTGTTTTTATGTTTCTCTTTCACGGCTACACTTATTTGCAGACAGACGTTTTGCATAGCTGTGCAGTGATTACATATTTGTGTAGGGTTCTAGGACTAATTTCTGCACCACTGTATTACATCACACAAGAGTGCAGAAAAAATCTGCCCATGTGGTCTGAGAACCAGCAGGCACTGTCTCACCTCATCCTGGGACTCTTCATTTAGGCACAGCATGCTTTTGGTCATGTAGTTGTTGGGAATGTAGAGGGTGTGGTTGAACGAGCTCTGGTCCTCAGAAGAGTCCTGCTCCATGTCCAGCTCCTGACAGGAAGTACCGGAAGACGCTGAATCCTGGGTGCAGTCCTTAGAATCACAATCACTGCCCCCCTGGACCTTGGTTTCCCCGCTGCAGAATGTCTCTGCAGCGTCCTCGTTCCCTCTGGACTCCTCCCTATGATCCTCGGTGTAGCTGCGGGGGTACGACTCAAAGGACCTGCCCCGGTCCAGTCTCGGCACTCTGTTGCTCCACATGGACTCGCAGCTCGAGTGTTCATCCGTTCCGATCTCTGTGAGGTCGGATACGGGTACGCTGATATCTCCGTGAGTTGGAGGGGAGAGACAGGGGGGGTTGTTGGAGTCTGGGACCGAGCAGGAGCGGTTCAGAGCCCCCCTCCCCCTGTTCAGCCTCTGATGGACCCTCCTCCGCACCGGGGAGCTGTTCTGGGGCCTGCAGTCCAACTCAGCTGCCAAGGTGGTGCAGTCTCCATCACCTTCCATGTCCTCCGCCCACAGAGAGGAGTCCCAGTCCCGGCACACCTGCACATTGACAGGTAGAGTGTTTCAACTGAGGGCAAAAACAATCCTGATCACTATGAATGAAAATGTATAAGATTTTAATTATTGATTCCATTATTGGTTCCTCTTGTCAATATGAATCTTTATTGATTCATTTATCAATTCCTGATGAATTGTTGGTTGTAGAAGTAGAACCTATTGAGGCTCAAGACAAACTATTATTTCACCAACGTTCTGAAATGATTTATTAGGGATTGTTTTGGGATTGGAATTAATACGATTTTATCAATACAAATGCCTTTATTGATTCCTTATATGGATCTGATTATTTGTGGATTCATTTGATTCAAATGATTGGGTGGAAAAAGAGAATATATTAAAAGATCCTGACTTTATTTATTCCTACCACGTCCTCAATACATTAACTAATTAAGGATTTTACTACCACTTACATTGTTAGTCACGATCTGTTTGTGTTCTGTTTTATTTTGAAAGGTGTTCACCCCCAGTCTTTTGTCTCTGTCTGCTTCCTGTCTCTGTGTTTGCCCTCCTGTCTGATTACTGATGCTCTTCACCTGGTGTGTTCTTCCTGTCCTGCCCAGCTGGGTCTTGTCCCCTGATTAGTTTTGAATGTATTTCAGTTCTGGTTTTCTGTTGGTAGCAGTGGGATTCTTGAGTCTTTCACAAGGGAGTGAGCCTTGAAATGAAGGGAATTTTCAGTTTGAAACATTTGTCTGTCCTGCACTTTGGTCCAACCTGCTCTGCTCACCTTGACAATTGATTCCATTAAGAGATCTGATTATTTATATATGTATTTATTGATTCTTGATAAGTTGAAAAAGAGAACATACATTGCCGTGTGTAAATCGAGAAGATTTACACACGGCATCTCGTGCACGTCTGTCCGTCCTGGGAGAGGGATCCCTCCTCTGTTGCTCTCCCTGAGGTTTCTCCCATTTTCCCCCTTTAAACTGTGGGTTTTCTCTGGAAGTTGAAAAACTTCCAGAGAAAACCCACAGTTTAAAGGGGGAAAATGGGAGAAACCTCAGGGAGAGCAACAGAGGAGGGATCCCTCTCCCAGGACGGACAGACGTGCANGATAAGAATCAAAGGTTCCCATAGGATCAAATAGAAAATGCATGCGGGTCATTTTTGACCCACTTATGGAAGCTTGGGGTAGAAATACAAAAACTACAATTTGTTGACATTTCAATTTAAAATGTGAATGGCATGATATCCAAAACATGTTTTTTGAGGAATAGCTGGAATATGCAATGATAAAAAAATGTATTTACAAAGATGCTTCAAGAAAACCACCTCACCGGGTCAAAAAAGACCCACTTATCCATCTACGGGTTAATATTAATTTGCCAATGGATTCATAAATATGTCATATCACTTGAACATTATTTAGATAGGGACAATGACGTTCTCTTTGTTCATCCGTGACGCAGTCGTGCGGAGCTACATCCATGTGGAAAAGGGCGTGGTTGAATCTAAACTGGGTTGGAAAAGCAATAGAACAACTGAACAACCTTTGCTGGCTACTTTTTTTCTATGCAGAAAGCCCTAGAATGCAGTGTTTCACATCAAATCAGGATGATGACGGATGCTCGATATGTTGATGCTCCCAAGATAAGCATGAGTGCAATTATAAATGTTTCAGCGCCTGAAAATATGAAAGCTTTTCAACATGGCACAAATAAAAAACAGAATAGCGGCCTCAGCATATTTCCCCCTATATCACCCTCTGCTCTGCACGCTGGACTCTATTTGTGTTTGGATAAGGGATGAGGCTGTAATTACCGTAGCCTCGACCTGTCAGAGCGCTCGCCTTGGTGTTTGCGTTCAGGCCATAGCATCAACTTTAAAAATTCACACATTGCTGCAGAGTAATCAATATCTGTGACCATGAACAGCTATTTTCCCAGTGAAAAACCAACCCTATTTGTTTAAGTTGATGTGGCGATCATACTATACAGGTCATGCTGACAAGTACAAGAGTCCTATAATGCAATTCAGCAACAACAGAATAAATACAGCCTTTGTGAAGCTTATAATGTTTATTTTAAATGATGTCTGCACCGGGTTGATTTTACTCAGGCAATTGTGATTTTAGCCTGCATTTCGTAGCATTGTTATGCTAATGTTCTACCAAGGGCCTTTCAGTTAATATGTTGGCATGGGTTTACGTATGGCCGCTACTTCTCTTTGCCAGAGAAGCTTTCCTACATTTAACACGCATCGTGCATTCTTAGGGCTATTGTGCGAATGAATGATTTGTTTGTGTTGCTGTGATTGTTTACTTCAACATTTAAAAACAGGTTTTTGTTTGTTTTCGTGCAAACTACATAGTTCCACAGCACTAATTGGCTTCCTTTTATAACAATATTCTTAACTTGTGTGATTTGGAATTGTACTCTAACAACAATGGTGGTCTGAAATTATACAGTTTAAATGATTCCCTTTCTAATTCTCATTAATTTAAAAGGAAACGTCAACATATCATCTTCTTTAGATAATCAATACACCTTATCCGTCCAAGTTCCTTTGTTCTTCAGAGCCAAGTATTCAAATTGTCAAATTCTATTTTAATTGCTTCTTCAGAGCTGATATAAAGCCAACTCATTAGGTCAAACGAGCATATGATATTGTCTCAAATTGACTGAAAAATGTATAAATATCTCAGAATCTTGTGGCACAATGTGCTATCAGCCAATATTGAAACACGTTGTAATGAAACTTTTGATTTAGAACTCTTTTTCTGTAATCTTTTGTCTAGAAATCAACATTCTGTTAGAAAAGTAGAGAAAGATTAATCGTTTTTATATCATAGTGTTTTCAAGGGAATATTACACAAATCCCAGGGGACGAAGATCAGGTAGTCAGGATTGTAGACTGATATAACAGCATGATCCAATAATACATAAAGACATCCCAGAGAAAGTGAGTTTCAGCGTTATCACTCGGGTGCACAGCTGATGGAAAGGATTTCTGTCTGCCCCCATTTCTCTCCTAGGGAGGATCTCACACGCCCACTGATCACTGAACAGTAGTCTGGCAGTATGACTTCCTATTTGTCTTTGTTACCACCAGCTTGCACTGGATCAACTGCTGCCTGGTTTCATTTAAGCTGTTCCAGGCTGTGTCCAGGCCAACAACCCAAAATCTTTATATACAGTAAAGAACAAATCTGATTTCCACTCAGATGTACACATGCTGGATACGCATAAGACAACTGCATGGCAACACTGTGAATATATGGCTGTAAACAAATAGAAATGACCAAAAGGGCGTCCAGAACCTAACTACAACTCACATTCATGAATACACAACAAGTGGTGGAAGGCAACTATGCCTATTTACTCAAGTACTGTACTTAAGTGCACTTTTGAAGTACTTGCGCTTCAGTTATAAGAGGGCCTATTATGCTTTCCTTTCCTGTAGTGTGTAGTATAGGTTTTTTTTGCATGAAAATGGTCTGCAAAGGCCAACATAAACTCTAAAATACTACTTTATACCTCTGCTTCAAAAACATTTGAAAAGGTTAATCATATATTTTACACCACTACATTTATTATAAGGCTTAAATCACATTTTAGATTAAGATATAGCATTAAACACATGGGATATTACATAATGCATTTCTAAAGATGAAACAAGGGGAATAAGTGTTTGAGGCACAAAAATGTTCAATTATCTATTACACAAACTTCTAAAAGTCCTAAACATGAATACATTGGGGTGAGTCTACACCAGTGACATTGTTCTTGATGCAACAATTAACATTCTAATATTGTCCAATACTATATGTTAATATATCACATATGGAGGCATTTTTCCTGCGGAATTAGTACTTTGACTTTGTATACTTTAAGAACATGTTGTTTCTGAACTACTGTGAGATTTTTTTAGAATGTAGGACTTCTTACGCAGTATTTTGACGTTAATATACTTGTATTGTTAAAAGACCCTGAATACTTATTCTACCTCAGACAATAAACACACAGCTCCATCCAGCACCAAGGACAGCGACAGTAATCAAAAGGTAAGCAAAGGAAAGCATATGCATGACGAGTACAAATTCAACGACAGCAAAAGAACAAAAGCCCAGTGATGCCAGTGGTTTATAAAAAGCAGCACTCACCATTAAAAGAGCTGGAGGCGGCGAGGTGTCGGTGCTCTGTGGAGAGAACATCTTCAAACTCATTATTGTTCTTCTAGAACTTTCAGGTAGACAGTACAATTACCTACCTGAATTAAACGGGACTCCATGGTGCGAATAGAAGCTTGTTCTCAGTAAAGAAAAGAGAAAGTTTGAATGCAGCAGCAGTCCAGGTTTAAGGCGAGAGTTAACGAGCTGCATGCACCTGTTAAATGCTAGCAGGTAAGGGCTAGCTTCTTGCTAACTTCGCTGGGACTAAAGAAGCGATTTTATTCACTTTCATTTTCTCAAGTGTTCCAACATGTGCTGCAATGTCTGACCATATGCAGCTGTTGTATACATTGGCAATAGATAACATGTAACACGTCTATTATCAGCGATAAACTGCTAGCAACCTCAACTTAACAAGTGGGCGTTACACATTAGTTAACACCATGTTTATCACCTGTATGGACAACATTGCACGTTCCACTATGAAGCTCCGCCCCCAACTGCACAAAACAGGACCTGTTGTTATGTATCATAATGATCAAAGCCCCCCCCCACCCCAAAGCAATACACACATAGAATGATAAAGAATAAATGAAAAATCTCTACAAGGACAATACAATACAAAAACTGAAACATATTGGTTATATTATTGTGATTGTAGTAATGTGTTTTTATTACATGTACCAGCCACTTTGGCCCGACCAAAAATCGCTTCTAAATGGTGCTATCTAAGAATAAAACGCATTTTATTTTAAGTCTGTTAATTTATATCTTATTTTTACCAGATTTAACATGTATTTATTCATGGCATTTATTTTTTTATATCTCCAGTTTTAAACGATATTTTTGGTTTACTGTCATTATAGTATACATTGGAATGATTTCAAACCTGTTTTTATTTATCTAATCATTATAAAGGGGTGCCTTGGAATATGTGTTATACATGAATTGTGATCAAACATATTTGAGACCCACTGAGATAACTTAGACAAAAAGTGAACTATCTAAACACTTCAGAGTCCTTTACCTCAACTGACGCTGTAGTTATCAGCCTCATCCAACAACAATCCGCGGTACCGATGCGCGCCCTTCTCTCTTTCTCTCTCTCTCTTGGCTCGCTCGGGAGGCTCGCTCGCACTTTTGGCTGTGAGCTGCGGGCGCCTGATAAGTAAACATCCCCCACTTTCATCACTTACAGCGGCCATCGTACAGGGAAATGAAAACTGTACGGGGTGAAAAGGGTGTTACTTGACTTAATTGGAATGTTGTTACCATCAAGCTGACATCTTAGGATGAGAAACATCGCAAAGTCTTTCCTCAGAACTTACCGCGCCCCCCCGATCTGCCGCCCTCGGGACCGCCTATGCCTATGACAAAGACCGCGCCCTCATAAGATCATCGTTTTTCTTAGAATCAGTGCCTATTATCAGTGTTGGTGAGTGGGGATGGGGAAACTACATATTTTTAAAGGCAAGAGTTAAATCCATGTTGCAGTTATCTTACTGGTATTTCAATTACTATGAAGTGATTAAAGTAGTTAATAAGGGCTTTGTCGTTGCCATAAAACTAGCCGGAACGGTTGGCCATTGGTGCAATAATTATTTTATTCCACGGCGATGTTATTTTTTTAATGTATAATTCATGTGAGGAGGTATATTCTTGTTCCATTGAGATGACATGTTAAACAATAATGACTGTTTTATTGATCGATGGTCTCATTGTCATAGCATCAAATTATGCATATTATGCCCTCAAGGCGGCCTAAGCAAAGCCCACTTCGCAGTATTGTGTTGCTTTGAATAGAAGCCTGGTAATCTTTTTCATGAATACATTCAAGGCTACAAACACAACAAGCAGGGTTGGGACACGAGTAGAAATTATGGTGCTTCATTTACATCATAACATTTTAATATGTGTAGTGTTGTCAGATGGATAGTCGAAAACATCATGAAACTTCTAAGACAATCATTTGGTTAAAAAAAAAGGAGAAACTTTATAAATCATCATGTCACCAAAATCGGCACGATTTATCTTTTTCAGAACCGCGAGCCTCAGGTTCCTTTCAGCTTAAGTTCAATAGGAGACAAGTAATGTTCATGGAGGCTCATTAGAAGAACCAAAAAATGGGACAAATGACAAGAGGAAGAAATCCCTCATTTGCACATGGAGGGATTTGGTGCTTATTTTACCCAAATTTAGGTGTCACCCCCCCCCCCCCCCCAAAAAAGACACCCTATCCGTTTTAAGAGTGGTTAAAACCTTTCTTTTTGTAAAGGTTATTAGTTAGGGCTGATTCGTGGCTTGCCTGTTGCTGTGGTCCTGGATCATAAGGTCCTGGATGGATATCCTCGTGGTTCATCTTCTTATTATAGACACATGCTTTCCAAACATTTGGTCTTTCCAACATTTGGGGTCGACCTCGCTGTAAATGTATTATCCTTTTCATTGTACACACGGCATCTATTGCATGTCTGTCCGTCCTGGGAGAGGGGATCCCTCCTCTGTTGCTCTCCTGAGGTTTCTCCCTGTTCCCCTTTAACTGTTGGGTTTTTTCTGGGAACAGTTTTTCCTGTGTACGACTGTGAGGGTGCTAAGGACAGAGGTGTCGTATGTCATACTGATTATTCTGGGTACAAAGCTGAAGAATGTCCCTGAGACAAATGTAAATTTGTGATATTTGGGCTATATAATAAACATTTGATTTGAATGAATGCCACAGGGAGATACTTATTCATATTAGCCAAGGAGAACGTGACTGTATTTGTAACTATTAGAGGTTGCCTGCGCGCCCTGAAATGTGAGATTGATACGTCTTTCCCCTTTTCCTTTCCTATTGACTAGTATGTATATGTCCCTTAATGAACCTTCCCTCATAAATGCTGGTTTGATTTCAAGAAAATGTGCAAGTAAGTGGAACGGTTTCCTAAAGTGGCAGACCCTGTTTGCGGAAGACCACTAGGGAATGAGTTTAAACATATTTTACACAATGTGTTTTTCATTGTTTTTGTTTTTTTAATTAAGTGCAATTTCAATATGTACCATAACAAATTATTTCCATTAAAAAAAGCCAACAATTGCTTACTGGGACGTTACATGCTTCCCACATCCTTGTAGTTTTTTTTAGCATTGAAGTTTATTCCTGACCCTGCTCAACAGAATGAGGGATCAAAATCATTTCAATTAAAAGGATTTCAATTCCACAGAATGAATTGTCTCCAGACAACACTGAACATGGCCCAGCTGAGCCGCATGCTAACAACAGCAACCAACAACAAAGACTGCAAAACCAGGACAGCTTCACCCGTGCGGTCTCACATGCATACGTGGCAGCAACCGAGCCCGGCTGCGGTGGAAGGAGATAGACAATAAGACATCACAGAATATTTGCGCACAAATACGTTTTTTTTTTTTTTATAATGCCTTCTAGATTAAAATAACAACCTTTAAAGCTCAACTGAGCTTTTTCAGAGTCCGGCCCGGTCACAGGGTCCCTTTAGATAAGATGAGAAGTGTGTCATATATGGGGTGAGATGAA